TGCTTCTCCCTCTGACCCTCTTCCCTCTCGTGCTCTCTATCTCTCATTCTCTCTCTCTCAAATCAATAAATAAAATCTTTAAAAAAAAACAAAACAAAAACAAAGAAGCTTACCTAACCAGATTCAATAAACTAGGCTTACTAGAAGAACTTCAGAAACTTCAAGTGCTTGATCATTTTAGAACCTTATTTTTCTTAAATTCAAATTAAGCCAATTTTAAAGTTAATTTAATGGAATAATGGAATATCACTTATCAAAATAAGCAAAATTCTCTCACGTGTCAAAAAATTCAATGTTTGTTGTTGATTGGGGAGTAAAAGATCAAAATAACATAAAACAAATTTTATTTTAGAATAAGAGAGGCAGAGGCAGGTGGCTATTAATATTTTTGACTCCTGGCAAATACTTCCTCAGAGACTTACACCCATTCCCTGCTTGGTGGTAGGACATTTACAGCCTCATCAATTTTCTGGAAGACAGGATCTGGGTAGGGAAAGGCAGCCTAAGCCATCATACACTCAGTAACTAACCACTTAGGGGAAAGGTATATACTTTCATTCTACAAAGGATCTTAGGTAATCTGCCAACCTTTCATTTAACAGGAAAAGCCCCTAAACCCCAGAGAACAGAGGTAATTTCTTCTCAAATCCGGTCAGTAGAACCCAGGTTATATTCTATATAACAATGACTTGATCAGTCATTGTTTCTACTATCCATAGGCATGACTCTTCAGGACATTAAAATTTTATAAATATAGGGGCGCCTGGGTGACTCAGTCATTGGGCGTCTGCCTTCGGCTCAGGTCATGATCCCAGGGTCCTGGGATCGAGCCCCACATTGGGCTCCCTGCTCAGCGGGAAGCCTGCTTCTCCCTCTCCCACTCCCCCTGCTTGTGTTCCCCTCTCTCTCTCTGTCAAGTAAATAAAATCTTAAAAAAATTTAAATTAAAAAAATAAAATTTTACAAATATAGCCAAAATGTTCAGAAGTGGAGAACACTCATGAAACAAAAACTGAGACTAGAGGGGCACCGGGCTGGCTCAGTCTGAGGAGCATGTGATTTTTTTTTTTTTTAAAGATTTTATTGCTTTATTTGAGAGAGAATGAGAGAGAGAGAGAGAGAGAGAGAGAGAGAGACAGAGAGAGCGCGCATGCGCGCACACATGAGAAGGGGGAGGGTCAGAGGGAGAAGTAGATTCCCTGCTGAGCAGGGAGCCCAATGTGGGGATGGATCCCAGCACTCCAGGATCATGACCTGAGCCAAAGGCAGTCGCTTAACCAGCTGAGCCACCCAGGTGCCTCAAGCACGTGATTCTTGATCCTCAGGGTGTGAGTTCCAGCCCCATGTTGGGTGCAGAGATTACTTAAATAAACTTAAACAAACAGACACTTAAGGAATTCTGACTCTTGGCCCCAGACATGAGAACTTAAGAACAAATCTTCTGAATATCCTCAGTTGTCTAATCAGAGATGCTCTAAGTTTGACTGGCTCATGGTTTCAGGCAGCTGAAACGGATTTTCCCAGTTCTGACTCACAGTCCTCTGAGAGAAGGTCCCCATCCAGTTTTAAAAAGAATAAACAGTATTACAAGGATGCACAGCACCAACTCAGTGAAATTAATCCAGCAAGGGGCGGTAAACCAAAAGGCTGAAGATACCTGCTGATTTAGCAGAGTACAGGAGGAGTGTCAGCCAACACCTGCATACTGTTTTTAGTCTCCAGAGACTTTCAAGGTCAAAGGCAGAAGAAAAAATCTGGGCCATGTGAATTTCTTTTGTCTTCTGAGTTCAATGGGACTGGGGCTCTGAATGAGTGTTCATGCCCAGCTGTCTTGAGTCATCACTTTCTATTCTTCACTAAAAGTATTTCAGAAAAACATTTTAGGAAAACAGTATCTCCTAAACTACAAATGTCATGAGATGGAAGAGGAAGAGAACAGAACATAATGTTGAAAAAAGTACTATCAGAGAATCTTTATTAAAAATGAACCAAAAAAAAAAATGAACTAAAATGGCCAGGGGCACCTGGCTGGCTTAGTTGGAAGACCATGTGACTCTTGATCTCGGGGTCATGAGTTTGAGCCCCACCTTGGGTGTAGAGATTACTAAAATAATAATTATAAAATAAAAAAATAAAATAGTTTTTAAAATTAACTAAGATGAATTAGTCAATTTTGACCATATGGGCAATACCCATATGGTGTGTACCCATTTTTACTGATGCAAATAATAACTTTGCAGGTACCTGATTAGTTCTTCTGATAAATCAGAACATTTCAGCACACAATTTTAACAAAGTTGAAACTATTTAAATTCTCAAATGATGGATATTAAGCATTGATGGCTCTTTCTTTTCTTGAAAACTGCCTTGCAACAGGGTATTCCACTCATTTTGTTGGAACTTCCAAGACCTAGACAAAGATCCATTGTCAGAGAGAATGTCACTATGACAAAAGAAGGGCACAAATTTTCTCCTTTTGCAGTAATTTTATTAAATACTGCTTGAAACAAGCAGGCAATTGGCTAGACTAGGGAAACATTTCTGTTGTGCAAATATTCGTGTTATGCCATTATTTATCAGATGGTAGTATAATTTGGACTCTACACATACGGTTCCCCATCCTCCAAAAATCAGTGAATAAATAACTGCAAGGAAATTTGTCAACTTTCAATTTACAGTTGAAACTTATACAGGTTTGAGAACCAGACTCAGTGAACATGCAACACCTGGGCAATGTCAAACTCAATGTACAATATGTGCTCTCATTAATATGCATAATGGTCATCTTGACCACCCCTCATAATGATATTTATCTTTGGAGTACTTTAATTTCATGTAGCAAATACACTGTTAAAATTACTTGAGAGGATATTAAAATTTTTGTCCCTCTTCAGACCACCCTACGCACAGTATCCCAAGGGAATGTGAGTAATGAGTACTTAAGCAATAGGCATTGCCTTGATTTTTCCATAGCACTGCTAATTTAGCTTGGGTCAGTCCGAAAATGTTATTCCATTTTTGAAATATCTAGGCAAATGTTGCTTTTAAGTATTTAATACGATAGAGAAGGCAATAGAGCCCTTTTAACAATGTATCATTTTATTTATACTACTCTGGCTGTTATCACCTTCTCAGGAAGCCTTTAAAAACCAAAACACACAAGTGACCAAGAGAATGTATAAGTCGAGAACACACAAAAACAGACTGAAGAGACAACTTAATTTTGGCTGGGTCATCATCTAGCCAAGACAGGGAAAACCTCTGGTAACAGTTAACTAAGTAGAGAAACTCAACCACTTTCAGGACTCCTCAGTATGGCTATAAGATCTATTAGAGGTGAATTGGAGATGAAAGGGCATATACTGCAGATACTGTGTAACAAGGCACGTTGCTCATTTCCTCATGTGTAAAATGGGTATAAAGCCTTCAAACCATAACACTGGGTGCCTGGGTGGCTCAGTTGGTTAAGCGACTGCCTTTGGCTCAGGTCATGATCCTGAAGTCCCCGGATCGAGTCCCGCATCCCGCTCCCTGCTCAGCAGGGAGTCTGCTTCTCCCTCTGACCCTCCCCCCATCTCATGTGCTTTCTCTCTCATTCTCTCTCTCAAATAAATAAAATCTTAAAAAAAAAGATAATATAAGAAAAATAGTTGATGGGGCACCTGGGTGGCTCAATTGGTTGAGCATCCAACTCTTGGTTTCGGCTTGAGTCATGGTCTCAGGATTGTGAGATCAAGCCCTGTGCTGGGCTCCTGCCTTGGCGAGGAGTCTGCTTGAGAATTTCTCTCCCTCTGCCTCTCCCCAACTCTTGCTCTCTCTCTCCACCTCCCTCTCTCAAAAAAACAAATCTTAAAAAAAAAAAAAATAGTTGGCTCAAAGTTGTTTCCTTTCCTTGCCACACCAATATTGCTATGACTACATGGAATGAGCCATTTGCATTAATAAAGATGCATGAGAGCAAGCTGTCTTTAAACATGCAGTCAGCATATACTTGGGTTTTGTCTCATCTTTATAGGTGCTGTTTATATCTGGAAATGAGTTCTTAACTACCAGTAATGTCTTTTCACCCTGAAAGGAAAGAAGAAAAAATACAGTATGGCAGGAATTCAAGGATGACACAACACACAGTCAAGCACTCCCTTTGAGTGAAGCATGGTTGACACACCAGGATTACTAATTTATAATAGACCCCAACTACTCATTCCAACAGCCTCTATCATCCTAACTAGCTACTTTCAGTAGGGGAGGAGGCAGGAGAGACTGACCTTGATTCACCTCATTACCAGCCAAATGTGGAAAACCCTTTAGCACAGTGATTCTCAATCTTGGCTGCACTTGGCTCCACATCAAATCACCTGGGGAGCTTTTAAAGCTCCAACTGCCCAGATCATACCCCAAACATCTGAATATCTGGGGGTAGGGTGCAGGCACTGGTAATTTTTTAAAGTTCCCAGTGATCCAAGGTGCAGCCAAGGTTGAGAACCACTGATCTCACCGAGATCACGCCTCCTGACCTCATCTAAATTCTGCTGAAAGCCAACTTAGAGCATTTCACAACCCCAACTTCTGAGTAGAACAGGTACAACAGGGTCCTGAATGCTGGAACATCACTGATGCCTGCACCGAGGTCCACACAGAGGGCTGAATCGAAAGCTTATTAGCAGGAGAGTTACCCAGATCCTCACCTGAGAGCCACCTTTTCCAATAGTTTGCACTAAAAACAAACAAAACCCCCAAGTAACCAATCTTAAGAGATGTCACCAAAGCCCGCTAGGATTTTTTTTTTTTTAAGTAAAATCTCTTGGGAAAGAAAGTATATGGGGGAGCGCACCCCCCCACAGACACAGCCTATAGACAGAACCATACGATTCCCATGGCCGCCTAGAAAACACCCCGTAAACTCCCCTCAGCTCAGCGCAAGCGGGCGCGCGCCAGCCTGTGGCCACTGCACCTGCTGTCGCGCTGGGCCGCACCTGCCGCGCCGGGCCCTCTCCTCCTACCTTCCAGCAGCTCGTCCAGGCTGGTGACCTTCCGACTGCCGTCGATGGTGTAGATGGTGCGGACACCCTGGGGCAGGTTCACGTTGTCCGACAAGGAGCGGGTGAGCTCCATGAGCAGCGCATCGAAGGACCGGAAGCGGTCGCTAGAGATGGCAAACACCAGGCCCTTGAAGTAGCGGTCCCCATTCCGGTAGAAGCGCGCCTTCTTGGCCTTCTTCTCTGAGCTCAGAGCCTGCAGGGTCCGCGTGCGGTAGAAGCTGCAGTGGGCACTGTGCGCCGGGCTGGGGATGAGCCCGTTCCCCTTGGGGCCCGAGCTGCTGCTGCCTCCCGAGGAGCTGGGCGCCCCTCTCCGCGACCCCGGTCGCGGCCTTTTGTCCCGTTCCTCAAAGTGCTCCAGCTCAATACTCCTGGTGCTGGCCATCACGGCTGCTCCGAAGGCTCCCCCACAAAAAACGTCCCAGCCAAATCCTCCGGGTAGCCTAGTGTCAATGCGAGAATCAGTTCAGGGACGTATGAGCGCGGGTGGCGGGGGGGAGGGGAAGGCTCAGAGTGCCGGGACACCTGGCTCTGGCATCCTGCCCTCTCCTCACAGGTGGGGCCGCTGAGCCGCCGAGGAGCCGGATGGCCCGCGCCCCCCTAAAAGTGGCCGCAGCGTTGAGCTGCTCAGCTCATTGTCCAGCGCGGCTCGCTCTGTCCCGCCCGCAGGGAGTCCCCCGCCCCCCGAGCGCCTTCTCCACCCAGCCACGCCTCACAACTCCCGCCTGGGAGCCGGCCAGGAGACGCAAAGTTGGGCCGCCCGAGGTTCGCCCCGGGCCGGCGGGCGCACACAAAGCTCGGGCGCTCGCCGCGGCTCGCGTCCGCCGGCGGCTCCCGGGAGGCTGAGGGGAAGGAAGGAAGAGGAGTGGGAGGAGCTGGGAGCGTGGGAGAGGCGCCGCGGGCCCGCAGGGGCGTCGCGCCCGGCCCCGGCCCGCCCACGAGCCCTGCGGGAGGCCCGGGATGCGGCGCCTCCACCTGGCTCGCCCGCAGGCCCTGCCCTAGTGGCGGCGCGCGCGGACTCCGGCTGAGAGGGCCGTGCGGTGGCCCCTTCCTCCCACAGAGCCCGGCCCTTGCGGGAAATAATGCAGCCCGCCTCCCTGGCTGCCGGCCGGCCCAGCCCACCCGCGAGCATCCGCGGCCGGCCGGACTCCGCGGCTGGCCCGGCTCGCTGGCGGGGCTGGAGGTGGGGGGGTTGGTTCCTGCCCCCCAAGGGCTGCCAAAGCCGGGGAGGGAGTGGGTGCGCGAGGAGAGGGGGCCGCACGGGTCAGCGCGGAGGCTCTGCGGCGGGAGAGGACCGACTCCTCCTGGGTCCTAGGCAGCCCCGGCCGCCTGACAGCTACAAACCCGTGCGGCGCGCTAATGGGCGCAGCCGCGGCACGCGCTCCTCCGCCTGGGAAACGTAAACGCGCAGGCCAAAAAAACTACAAAGGAAGGAGATTCAAGGGCAGAGATCACATCCCTAAGTAGCCTCCAAAGGAGGAACCGAGGCTAAACTAGGACAGAAATTCGAAACATGACATTGGATTTGGGTACAAAATTTATAAAAGAAAATTTGAAGCTTTATTTTAAAATCCTTTGATAAAACAGTTTCCATTGCAGATTTGCTGACATAGGATGCTGAGTAAGTTTGAAGGAATAAATGATCAGAAGTTATTGGGTTTAAAAAAAAAAAGAAGTTATTGGGTTTTGAGGGATTTAATCAACAAATATTAAGAGCAAGTCATGTGTCAGGCGTTGTTTCCACCACTGGGGATGCATTAGTAAAGGAAACAAATACCTCCCCTCCCCCACTCACAGTCAAGTGGGGGGTATTTGACATTGTCAATTGAGCTTCTTAATTGAGGTCTCACATTTGTAAGCACCCATCATACTGGAAATCTTAATTTACTACTGTCAACAGTAAAAACATATTTCCTAAAGGCTTACGCGAAACATTAGTTATTTCCATTTTGCTATCAGGGAAAGGTGAGGCCACAAGATCTTTGGTCCTAATCTAATAGGTGGGTAAGCTACCCTGAAACCTTATTTATTCAGCACCTGGTTCTTTGAGTGGCCCTAGACAACAAATCCAAATCGACCTGGAAGGTTGGAAGGCATGGATACTTTTCTTGGAATGAACTGAGTCCTGGAAGAGCATGAGTAAGAAAAGGCAGGAGTATATGCAGTGGTTCTTCAGCAGCTGTGAAGTTGCCCTGGCATGGCAATGATCCAGAAGAATCCTGTTCAGTGCACCACTGTAGTCCCAGGACAGTCTCAGAGACACACCTGGACAAAGTTGACTTCTAGAACCAGGCCTGGAGCAGGCCAGGAAGTCAGCTGATCTGAGGTTACATTGTAGTTTTCAAGGGGAAAAATTCTAAAATATTATTAGGTCCATGACCACGATAGACCTCAACCCAGACCAATTAAATCAGAATTTCTGGAGATAGGCTTCTCCAACAGTATTTCTTTCTTCCTTCCGTTCTTTTTTTTTTTTTTAAGATTTATTTATTTCAGAGAGAGCGAGCTTTCGAGCAGGGGGAGGGGCAGAGGGAGAGGGAGAGAGAATCCCAAGCAGACTCTGCTGAGCATGAGCCAAAACCAACAGTGGGGCACCCAGCCGACTGAGCCACTCAGGAACCCCAACCAACAGTTATTTTTTTTTTTAAAGATTTTATTTATTTATTTGAGAGAGAGAGAATGAGAGATAGAGAGCACGAGAGGGGAGAGGGTCAGAGGGAGAAAGAGACTCCCTGCTGAGCAGGGAGCCCGATGTGGGACTCGATCCGGGGACTCCAGGATCATGACCTGAGCCGAAGGCAGTCGCTTAACCAACTGAGCCACCCAGGCGCCCCAACAGTTATTTTTTGAAAGTGCTCTTAATGTATATAGCCAGGGCTTCCAACTACAGGCTATAACATTAAGAATCAAAATACCAGTGTTTCTTCTCAAACTCTGATGTATTTATACATAGTAGGGGAATCTCATAAAAATGTGGCTTCTGATTCAGTAGGTCTGCGGTAGGATTTGAAATGCTACATTTCTTAAAGAGTTTTTTTCTAACAAGCTTCCAGGCAATGCCATCATTGCTGGTCTCCGTACAGTACTTTGAGAAAAAAAGAACTAAATGGCAAATTCCTTGAGATAAGGCCTCATTAAATACAACTAATTGCAGAGCCTATCAACTTTGTAAATGATTTAACATGGGTGTGTTCATCTGTTTTGCTATTACTATATCTTGGGGGAAAAAACACTTTCTAATTCATTGCTGTAGTAACAAATTATCCCAAATTTAGTGATTTACAGCAATAAATATGCATTATCTCAACAGTTTCTGTGAGTCAAATCTAGGAGCAGCTCCCCTTGAGTTTTCATTAGATTGCAACCAAGACATCGACTAGGGCTGCAGTCATCCAAAGGTCTGACTGGCACCTGGAGACCCACTTCCAACATGGCTCACTCACGTTGTTGGCAGGAGCCCTTAGTTCCTCACCATGAACACCTCTCTGTAGGGTCACTTGAGTGTTGTAACATGTCAGCTGGCTTCCCCTAGAGTAAGCATTCATAAGAAAACAAGGTGGAAGCCATTACATCATTCCCATACTATCCTGTAACTTATACTGCTCAGCCCCGTTCAATGGGGGACACAAGGGTATGACTACCAGGTGTCAGGGATCATTGGGGTCATCTTGCAGGCTGGTCGTGCAGGCTTCAATCACTCAAGCTGTAGGACACTGACATATACACATTTTCTCACTCAAAGATTTCTGATAAAAGATTTGGCCCTTCTTAAAAAGTGAAGACAATGAGGTAATATGCCAGTATTTTCACATTATTCCCTAACATTATATCCCTAAATTAAACAAAGATTACTGTTTCTCAACAAGGGTGAGGGCAGAAGAGAATTTCCAAAGCTGTTACTTAGTTAAAATTATTTTTCTCTTGCTCTTGCATTAGTTTAAAGGATTTTATTCCAAACCCTCATATAAGAATTAAGATGTGATCACTTTTCATAAGATATTTACATAATGTATATGGTATATATCAAGATCCAGTTTAAAAAAAAAAAGACCCAGTTTGCCAAAATTTGAATATTTATGGTGGTGGGAAAAAATTAGTTTTGGCATTGAAATCCTAAGGCAAGCAAAACTGGGGGTTCTAGATAGACATCACTTAATTTGGGTTATTTTGTAGTAGAACCAAAACGAATTCTCTCCTTTTAAACCATTGCAGAATTTGCAGAATAGGATATTTCAACTGGTATTTCCTTTGCTGCAATAACTCCTTTTTTCTAACCAAGAAACACTATCTGATTTGTTATTCATTCGTCATTACAGAAATGGTCTAATTCTCCTTGTTGGTTGTGAGGTCTACCAATTCTGTCCGCCAGGTCCTGATTTAAAAGGGCTTCATTCAGAGGGGCTGGCCCTGCCTCTTCACCACCTGGAAGCTGGCCTTGACCTTTTCTCTGTTGGTGGTAGATTCTCCATATCCTTTCCTTACCGCCCTTAATCTAACACTTGTCTGAATAAAAACTTTTGTGCAGAGTACTTTTAAAAATGGCTTCATTTCTATGCTACAGAGAACCTAAAAATTTCAATCCAACACTTCTCCATTTTTTGTATGATTACAAAGGAACCCTTTCTGCTCTTGATATATAATAAATTAAAATTGCGAAGTATCGAGTGAATGTGAACATTTTCTTGATGATATTCAGGAGAGGGTCTTTTAAAAACCATTTGGGGCAGAAAAACTCAACTACACATGAAGGGAAGCTAATTGTTTTTTGTTCTCTACACTTCTTAGATCACAGTTTCAGAATTTTGGAGCTGCCTTTTAGCCATATGATAACTCTCTTTCCCCCACCCCCACCTCCCTACCCCTACCTGGACTAAGAAATGCAATGGAAATTTTTATTTAGCGTTATTTGTTTAAACGAGATTTCATTACACACTTTTTTTTTTTTAAGATTTTACTTATTTGACACAGAGAGACAGCAAGAGAGGGAACACAAGCACTGGGAGTGGGAGAGGGAGAAGCAGGCTTCCCACTGAGCAGGGATCCCAATGGTGGGGTGTGTGTGGGAGGGAAGGCCGGGCTCCATCCTAGGGTCGTGGGATCATGACCTGAGCCAAAAGCAGCCACTTAACTACTGAGCTCCTCATTACATACTACTTCGTGGAGCTTTACATAAGAAAACTTGCCTTGAATATCTGCTGATTTTGCTTCAGGCTACTTTACTTTTCCAGTGCATTGGCTAGTCTTCACTTCTGGCCAGAAACTTATGCTCTTAGAGGCAGTTTTCCAGCTCCGTTATTTATTACGGTAAACATGCTTACGAACCTTTTGGACTGCACTGTGACGAGACTTTTCTGCTGTCTCATGTTTTCATTCCTGTTCACTAGTGCCAAACGTTTCTCCCAGAAGCAAAAATGA